ACAACCTTCCCACTGTGTTCTATATTGAAGAAAACTATTGTATATTTGTTTTCTTCTCTTTGAACTTTTCAATTTATTTCTTTTCACCCTGTACCTGCCCTACTGAACTGCTTCAGCTTTTCACAGCTGCCTTGCAGACCCTTGTTCTTTACTTTCTTTTGCCTTCTCAGGTTCATGCACTTATGAAGTAGTTTTAGTCTTTACTCTTTCTAGTATTTGTTTGCTGCCTTGGTTCTCTCCTGCTTTTTCTTTGATTAATTTCCTCTAGTCCTGGAAATGGAGGAAATAATGGGAGGAAGCTATCACAATAATGGTTATAAAATGATGTGGAATATAAATGATAGTATAATGGCACATACCATGGACTACATCAAAGATTCTCATAGAACTGATGATTTTGAAAAGCATTTGAAGGTGATATATGCAAGGAATCTTTGGATACTAAAACCAGCAACTGAATAGACCCTGAAGAGGAGATCAGAGTAAGAGTGACTTTGTTAGGTGGGAAGGTAATTTTTAAGGTGATGAGGCAGAAAAGACTTTGGCAGTCCCACCTAAACAGCTATCCAAATTTGAGGGAACCCCTCAATAGTATGAGGGCTGTAGTTGAACCTTGATGCTACCCTGAGACACCATGTGCTGCCTGTTCGTTAGTCACCCAACAGAGAGATGATGATTACATGATCATAATAATAAGGCTTTATTTCCTTGAGACAGTGAGCAGTGATCCCCATGGTAGTGTTAGGTGAAGGAAAATGTCTTGTACTTACGAGTTCTTCTTCTGTTCAAGTGTCTCGTGCTTCTCCCACTTCCTTGTGTCACATTTATGAGCTATCCTGAGAATCTGTTCAAGTTCCTGCTCCCCTTTCTCTTCCTTTCTCTCTGGGGTAACGCCCCTCTGCCCCTGCCATGTTAGAGGATATAGAATGTGGTCTCACAAGAGTGAGGAGTGAGGAAGAGTGGGATGGTGGGAGAAAAGAAAAGGTGGTGAGTTATCTGGTTTTGGACTTGTGGCTGTAATACAATAGTTAACTGGGTTTTATTGCTTTATGGTAGGTAAATTATTTGGTCATGTCCAACACAGAAGTTGGGCAAAAAGCATTAAACTACTTAATGACTCTACTCATAAAACACACATCTCCTTCTCAGGGAGTCAGATGTGTCATTGCTGAATGGCTGACATCTATTAGCAATAGAAATGTTAATTCTTTCTGAATAGTAAGCTGATAGTTATGGCTTAGATCCAAGTGTTCCTCTTAACTCCCTCAAAGTTGTTTTTATTTCCCCCCTCAGTTCCCATACAAAATAACTTTCTCAATCTTGGAAATAGACTGAGATTGGTATCAGTGCAAATCTGCAAGTGTAAGCTCTGTCCTAATGTTTTTGCATGAATGCAAGGTATTGAATGTCTTCTGGGGTGCTTTGCATGGTGGTTATTTTAGACAGAAAAGTCTAGACAGTTCTTAGGATCTATTGCACATCTCTACACCTGCCAAAATTTGGAAGGGAGTTTTGTTCAAGTTACACTCCTGTTCCTCAGAAGGGTTCACACAATACCAGTAATATTAACTAGACTAGTCTCTGTCTCTCTCCCTCCTCCCTGTCCCTCCCCCAAAAAATCACTACTACTGCTGTAAAACTTGAGTAAGATTTCCCACCTTCCATCATTCTTGAATGGTTATGTAAGTAGAAAGGACCTTCTTTTGTGCATGGTTCTGATGTACATGCCAGAAGTAATATAAAGATTTCTCACATGCAGTTGAGACAAATGATTTTTAAACACACTTTGGGCATAAAATCAATGGATTAGATTTCAGAAGGGCTCTTCAGTGGATAGAGGAAATAAATACAGATTTTTCCAATGTCAGGGTCTTAATTGTATTTTTTTTTTTAAAAAAGAAGCTACTTTCTTGCTTTAACCTGCTAATATTGTACTGCTGAAGCTGACATAGCAAGTAAGAAGATGTCTTTCTAAGTAATGTAGACTTGCTTTTGTTTAGTTTTTAATTCATCCAAGTTTCTCAGAAATATCCAGACATTGCTAATGGGCAGTACCAAGTGTCTGTACGGCTCTGAAGTTCATGGAGAAAATACATGGAAAGAACACAGATGATTCAAAGAAGGACAAGATGACCAGTTGATATAGATTACCAGTGGTGTTTGAATGCTGACTTTCAAAACTTAAATATTATTAAAATGTATTGAATCAGGTTATGAGTCCTTTCTCCTTTCCTTCTTGGAGAAATAGGCTATTTTTTCTAGTTTTGCATATGATGTTTAAACATGTAATTCATATGATAGAAAATTAAACAACAGGCAATAAATTTGGTTGCAGTCTCAGTTAAGATGTTTAATATTTTCCCATATGTTTCTTAGTTTAAAAAAAAAAATAATTAATGTTAGTAAGCTCATTTTAAACGATCAGTGCCATGGGTGTGTGGATCTGTCTTCACTTAATGGTTTGCATATTTTTGGTCACTTAAACTTAAATACATGTCTAGCTGAGTGGCTGTGCACTGTGTTGGCTATTTTGAGTCAATATTTGTGCTGTGTTGTAATATTTTATTTTATAAAATATAATCTTATGGTGTGATTGTAAAAGTATTGTTTTTAAGAACTCTTACTGAAAAAAATATTTGAGGTAGCTGTTGAAGGTTTAATAGAACTTCCAAGAACAGGCATGAATTAAAAGAAGCACAGACAAACTGAAAGCTGTAGCTGTATTTTTTGGGCAGAATATATACATTTGTGAGTCCCCATGTTTTAGCATAGAATGAGGATTTAGAAAGTTGAGTCCACACACAGAAAGCATAGTAGGCAAAAGCAACACTGCATCAAACTTAAAAACTTCACTGTATATTGAATGTCGTGATGTGTTTTAGGTGTTTATGTAATTTGTAATGGAAGCTGTGGGCTTACAATGGCAAATGATGGGAAACAGTGGTCTGCAAGGCAGCAGTAAAAATTGGGAATGCCAAATATGCACACTGTATGTCAGCCTTGGTTGAGAATTTGTTTTGAAAAAATAAATTGTTAAACAATGAAGGCCAGATATTTTTATTATTTTTCCTGGGAAAAGAGTTTGCATAGCTTAAGGGAGAATTTAGTGCCTGTGGGAAAGAGAACACTGGGCTCAATTTTCAAAATTCTGCAGTTTTGCCAAGACAGATGGGAAGGAACAAGAGTGTACCCCAAACAACTGTAGCCCTGGGAGACTCTGCTCATCTTGCATGGCAGGATTTCTCATTCATAATTATGCTTAAAAATCAAGCTGTGCACGCTGGTAGTGCTGCCTGGGGAGGAGTCAAGATTGTTCAGCCAGATGTTGATTTAGTGCAATAATTAAGCTAGCCCGGGTCTTGTAAAGGGGTGCCTGTCTTACTTGCTTCTGGGTGAGTGTTGAAAAGGCAAGGGATGTGTGTCAAGTCAGCCTGTGCCTTGGAGAGTCCAGCATCTGCAGATCTGCTGTGACCCGGCGCGGCAGGGGAGCAGTGATTGCTCTGCTGCTGATATGATGTAAGTTTCATGTGACTCACAGAAACCCCCTTGTGATTTCTGTCGAGTGTTTTCTTGGCAGTAGAGTGTGCTGGGAGTGCTTGTTTTCTAGGCTGCTACTGCAGCTCCATGAGTGGAAGAACTGAGTGCTGGTCTTTTGGCTCGTTTCTTTGTAGTTCAGGATGCTGTTCGTGTTTCTCATCTGCTGCGTTTGACTTCCTGTCCATCTCAATGGTTTCCTTTTAAACCAGCATAGTGGATAAACATCCTTTGTAGAGCTAAAGGTTCAGTTTTTAAAAAACCCTGAATGGTGAAACAATGTACCTATTGTGGATGATACAAAGTAGATGCTGAAAGTATAATCTGAATTTTTGCTCATGTCAACTGTTTTCAATGAATGTTGTATATTTCTATAAAAGGGGCTGTTCTGTTTGCTCTAGCCAGCATGTTGAAGAGGAACAGAGCATCAAGAGTGCTGTGTCATCTTTAAAATAACACATCCATCCAAATTTCCTCCCCAGATTGTTGCTGCTCACAGGATCTTTAATGACAGAGGAAATGAGCAGAATACACAAGAAAACAGGATTAACACATGAAGTTTAGTTAAATAAGATCAAAACCAGAAACCCTTTCTGTAATCACTGGGGAAAACCTACTCTAGAGAACAGAAGAATAGAATCACATTTTAAAGTGAGCATTTGGGGGATATTGCTGGGACAAAATACTCTCAACTGTTTTAAAAATACTTCTAGATAGAAAAATGAATTAGATTTCTTATTGGTGTGTGTTGTTGATCCTTAGCAAGGGGAAGAAATGTCTGCTTCAGGAAGCTGCAGGGTCTCATAAATCAAGGGAATAATGAGACTTGAGCCAAACATAATTTTGATTGTTTTGCCTTTGATTTTTCCATTTTCCTCTCATCATTCTTTCAGCCCCCTTATATTTAAGTGGATGGGGAACTGCTTTTGCTTCTTTGCTTGTTTAACTAGGTTGTCATGGTTTAACTCCTTCCCAGGCAAGACCAGCACACTAGGCTTTGGGCAAGATCTTTGTTCTTGCCTTGCCTTGGATTTTTTTTTTTTTTTTTTTTTTTGATCAGTTGTTATATTTTGTTGTTGTTGCTTTGAATGACCATCAGCTGTTTGGGTTACCTTGACAGCTGAGTCTGTGCATGTCCCGTAGTCACTTTGCCCATGCAGACACCAAAGACACATTCTTACCTGCTGAGCTTGATCCATAAGGAGCAAGCAGGTTATGCGTTGACTTAAATAACCTAAAGATGCACATAACTTGTGTGTACTGTTTCTGTACCCTTGTGCTACAGCCTCAGTCACACTGCAAGTTTCTTTCATAATTTGGGATTGTATAATGTGTGAACTTGCAATTTCTGCCTTTTGCAGGATGGCGGATGTTTTTTTGTTTCTTTCTGGGTTTGATTGTGAAGAAGGGGAAGAAAAGACAAGTTTCTAACCTTGTCCCCTTCTCTCTCTTTTGTGTTTTGGCAGGCCTGGATGATTGCCTGCAGCAGTATGTCCATAAATTTGAGCGGGAGAAGATAAATGGTGAACAGCTGTTACAGATATCTCACCAAGACCTTGAAGACTTGGGAATCTCACGGATTGGACACCAGGAACTGGTTCTAGAGGCTGTGGATCTCCTGTGTGCACTGGTTAGTTAAGTGGTGAACAGATAAAGAAAGACAGAATTCCTTTTTGGGGTTAATAACCAAGGCGAGTCCGATGAAACCAGAATACCTTTGTCTCTTGCTTTCTGTTACAAGTCATGGTAAATGAAAACATAGCTATTTGTTTAATTCTTGCAAGTTTTGTATTTATAGCTCTTTAATGTTTTTGTGATAAGAGGCAACTTGAATTCATTTGGCGGCACTTCTAAAGGAAGAAGTTGTCTGAGTGGCATTGTTAGGTCTTGTGACTCCTTTTAGTGAACTGAGTGATTAAAATTACTAGAGTAGAGTGAATTTGTCTTAGAAGATAGAAGACATACTGTTAAAGTGAAACAAGTTTAGAGCAATTTTGTAGCGAGCATATGAAATGAAGACAAATTAATTCTTGAGTGATTTTTGCTACCTCGGTTACAGTCTAGTCGAACACTCATTAGATTCAGGACTTAAGCTGTTCCTTTGTCTTACTCCTGGTATCTAACTGCAGGTACTTTTAAAACAAACACTCTGAAAAAATAAATATGTTTTGGATTGTTTTGTTAGGGCAGGCTTTATTTAAAAGCCATAGTTTGGACACAGTGTTGAAGATGTTTGATGTAACACAATGAATGAGCACCAGAGGTATATATAATTACATTAGGGGGCAGGGTGGGAAAGCCTGCCTGATGATTTCTTGGCCAGCACTGGCCCATCATTAGGCAAGGCTTGCAGCACTGAGCATACTCCTCTTAAAATGGAAAGTCTTTATTGCCTGTGCGATATGTGCAGAGAGTTGCTACAAGGATTGTTCCAACTCCATAACCAGTAATAAATTGGATAGCCTGTACTGAAAGAAGCATGTTTAATGAAATCTCTTCATACACTCTGAAGTGTGTCCCAAGAGTTGCGCTTACATTTGCTCTTATTTCCTTTCTGTATTTGATCTATCAAAAATTTGTAACATCTAACTTGAAAATCTAATAGAAGAATGTAACTAGAGTGAAGTGCCATTCATATTGTGGGAGGAGATAGTCTGTTGGGCAAGTGAAGGTGCCTGGTGAGTTAGTAAATGTACTGTGGGCTATATACAGTCCTGACTGAAGTAATCTATGTGGCAGTCCCCCAAAGGCACTTTTTTCTTCTTTTAAAAATATTAGAATAAAGTGAACAAAGCTGGACAACTGCCAGAACCTAAAGCTGTGTTTTATCTCCTACAATTTCCTTCTAATTTCCTTTGCAGACAAAAGTTTTGACCTCAGACCCATTTCTGGAAATCCTTTGTGAAATACAGCTCAAGTTAATGTATTAGACAGATATTACATATTACAGCTGAAATGTCCTTGTTCCCTTTCTAAGAGGTAGGAGGGAGAATTTCTGTATTTTAGGTATGCCCTTTGCCGCCTTCTTGATGTCCCTTCCCTTGAGTCTTTGGAATTGTATAAAATCACTATTGATTTTGTTTCCAAGGGGACACTAAATTCTAGTGACAGCCAATTTTTAATTTTGCTGTCTCTTTTTGTATGAGAGAATCAAGGTTTCCTGGTTCCACCTGTATTAGTTCTTTGAAAGTGGTAATGTTTATTGATATCACTTAGTGGATGTTTTGAGTATGTACATGTGCATATGGTGACATTTCCCTAACTTTTGGGGCCTTCAAAGCAAAGGAACTAGTTTTTTTTGCTTTATCTCTTTTAGATTTTTTTTTTCCCCTCCCTTTCCTCCCCACCATGCTATTAGCTCGCCCTGTGGAAATGAGGCATTGGCTGGGCCAGCCTGAGGTCACGTTTTGAAAGTTGTCGTTCTTGGCAGATACAGGCTGAGGTGGGGGTTTTGGTGGTTCCCCAGTCCTGGAGTTCTAAAGAAGAACTTCCCTTTTTATCTAGTTCTGCCTTGGCAATTTTCCAGCTGAGCTTCCTTCATATCAGTGCTTTGCTTTGCTCACACAAGAAGAACACTTGCAGCTCTAAAGGCAGAGGCAGGTGTCTTTGGAACATCTTTCTCCTACAGCAGCTCTTTTCAGGCAATCACCATACAGACTTCTGTTCCAGCTTTAGTAGATCAGTTACAAAAATAGTGTGAAGGTAGCCGTTGAGAAAGGACACCAAATACACCTGGTTTTTTATTTAGTTTTTATAAGGGTTGTGTACTATTTGTGGCAGTGCCAAGCTGAAAATATGTCTGCAAGTTATAGTGTGAGAGAGAAATTGATACTTTTTTCTCTGCTGCTTTGGTGTTGAAGCAGTGTTCCCTCATCTCCTTATAGCAGCAGGAGAGTGTGTGGACTGGGATAAAAAGTGAAGGTTTCCTCTGAGCACACATTTATGTTGCTCTCAAGCTGCTCAAATAGAGTTTTCTAGACAGGTGGTGAAGACTTTTATTTGAGGAATTTAGAGGGTATATCAAAGAAACTGAACTCCCCAGAGGGGAATGCCTCCATCTTTTTGTCAGTAGTATTTGCTTGGTTGGGAAAAGGGATGAAAAAAGACATTTCTTAGTTGACCAAAGTATTTTGGGAAGGGGGAAAACGTATGCATAACTATGCTTTTTAAACCACGAAAGCAGGGACAGGGATCCAGAAAACAAGCTTTTGGGGGCTTAATGTGGAGATAACAATGCAAGCACTAAAAGGAAATGATGCAAATAATTTTGATTTTAATGTGTTCTTTGGATTTGATTTCTGAATATTTTCCTCCACTCTATGGTGGGACAGTTTGGAAGCAAAAAAAGCAGTGGATTTTTCTTGAGGTTACAATGAACACAATACTGATTTTAACCATTCTTAAAAAACCCCAACAAACCTCCAAAGAAGCAAGCCACAGAGCTAAAAGAGCATAGTCATACCTTTGATAATTTCACTGGTAGTAATGTTCTGCCAGTATATTTGCAGTGCAACAAAATACATCATAACGTAAAAGAAAACACGCATGTATCATGACTTATCTTTGAGTGGCTAATCTTATCAAAGGACATCTGTGCACTGCCTCATAAGATTTCAGTTTTCTAATGGTCTCAAATTTAGTTCTGTTTATTAGGAAATTTGTGACTCCAAAGTATTCTTTATACTGCATTTTTGTTAAAAAGAAAAAAGTGTAAGAATGAGTGACTGTGACAGTACCTTATGTTAACTCTGGTATTTCTATAGGCGTGCAGTGAGATAGATCAGCTTCTGAGTAGGCATTCAGTCTGGTTTTATTGATCCCACCTCCCATCCCCTTCCGAGCAGGTTTCCAGTTGGACCAGCCAGCAGATCCAGCTCACCGCACTATGCCACGTGAACGTCGGGAAGGGATTGCTGTCCCTGGGCAGTGGCAGAGCTCTGCATCAGCCCAAATCAGCTCTGACACAACTGCTGTGCTCTTTTGACTTCCATTGGCTGATTTTTTTTTTTTTACAGTGTTTGTGGCTGCCTGACTTTGGACTATTAGTTGGTCAATGTATTTCTCATGAAATATCATGGAGTTTAGAAAGAGCATGCTGTTATGCTCATGTGCTCTCTCCTGCACGTGTGGGTGCTGCCTCTCTAGCCCTGCGTGTGGTTGCCCAGGTTAATGAGTAACAGCATGGGAATGTTTGACAGTGGGTGCTCTTGACCGCTGGCTTCAGCCTGTGTTTTGATTAAAGCAACTTTGATGTTTTAAATCGGGAGCAATAGGAAAATGTAACCTGTTCTTTGGTTCATGAGCAACATCTAAAACCTTTTGGTTGCTTAAATAATAATTTCTTAAACATTGTGGCATCAGTCCTGTAGAAGTACTTCAAGAAAAGCCTGATAAGCTCTGCTCTTCAACTGTGTGTCACTGTGAAAGGTGTTTGGTGTGCTGCCACAATATCAAAATTCCTATCTGTCCTGAACTGGGGCTACAGTTCTGTGACAAATTAATCCAAGTCAGCTGCTGCCTCCACCCAGTCCTGTCCTCTGATTAGTGATCTTTTATGCTTGTGCTCACCTGACCCTGATGTGAACTACTTCAGGGAGCTAAACCACACTACGATAAAAAGGGATTAGATTTCTTTGAATGTTTTAGTTCCCCAAACTAGCCCTCCCCATAGACTGGATGCTGAAAGTGAAGGGGCAGAGAAAGAGCAGGAATAGGAGGTGGTGTATGAGGTGGTCAAGACAGTGACAGCTTGGATAGTAGCATTGCTGTATCTGGTGAAGTGACACAATGCTTTCTGTGTATTAGAGCAAATGGGTGAGGAGAGGTGATGGGTTGTGATGACCCGTTGTTCCTGGGAAGTTCACACCTCAGGGCTTTTCCATAGTTGGATAATTTGATTTCCTGGTACTGAAGAGCTGCATCCTCCTCTTCGTGCTGGATAGGCATAGTGCTTAGCCAGGACCTTTCCTAGAGCACAGGTTTAGATATCTCTGGTGCACTCAGTAGACTCTTTGGGGGAAGTAGTAGGAGAGCTTAACGCAGTGACTGTTAGAGCTTGGCTGTGGTGTGCTCTTGATAGTCTGTTGGAGAGACCAGTTGCATTTATGAGCTGGAACCCGTACATCTGCAAATGTACTTAACTACAAGAAATACATCAGAATGATGCTCTTGTAGTTGGTGTTCTTTTCATTGTTGTTTTTAAAATTAAAAGGTGGTAAGTTCACACGTGACAGTGTGCAAGTAATTTCATGTTGTTTAGTAATCCAAATCTTTCCCTTTCTATGATCCTGGAAAATTTGAGGATATCCTTTGCTGTTGCAACAGTGGCATTTTTTACAATTGGACATATCCTCTCAACTCTTATTCCTGGCTGCATTTTAAGGGTACTTCCTTGCCAGAAGCCCTGAGGGGCGAGGAGAGAGGCTCTTGTGTAACTTACACCCACTGGGATCTTATCCATATGAGGTAGTAATGTATTAAAGGTAGCTCAGTAGCTGAAACCTCTCCATAAGCTGATGTGTTTCTTTGGATCAAAGGCTCTGTCTCATCTTTTGTGAATTATTTAATCTAAAATATTCCAGCCTCTTTAATGGATGCTTGACTGCGGAGGGAATGGAGCCACAAGCCAGCAGTGTGCCCTGGCAGCATCCTGGTGTGCATTAATGGCAGAAGGAGGGAAGTAATTATTACCCTACTTGTCACTCAGTAGTCTGCGTGTGCCCCCTGCCCCCAAGTACAAAAAAGATGTGGAGAAGCCAGCGCAAGCTCACTGGAGTGCTGTCCAGTTTGTCAGGGCTGGAGCACTTGCCCATGTGAAGTCTGGGACTTCTTCAGCCTCGGGAAGAGATGCCTCCAGGGAGACCCAACAGCAGATCCATTGGTGGGGAAACAGCAGAATGAGAGAGCTGGGCTGTGCATGGCAGGAGGATGAGACACTTTGGGCAGAAGTTGAAATAAGAAGTGCAGGCTGGACATAAGGCAACAGTTTCTTATTCTTAAGGACAGTCAGACAGTAGATCAGGCTGCCCAGAAAGGTGTAGTCTCTGTCCTTGGACGTTTTCAAGACCTGACAGAATAAAATCCTGAACAAGCCGCTCTGAGCTCACAGCTGAGCCTGCTGTGAGCAGGAGGTTGGTCTGAGACTTCTGGAACTCCCCTTCAGCCTGGGTATTGCTGTGATCCTGAGTTGCAGGTATTGGCAAGCCCTGGAAACCTGGAATTGAATGGAATTAAATTTTTGTTTTAGTTGGTTTAGGTTTTTGAGTGGGAGAGGAGGAACAGTAGATAGTATAGCTGGCTAAACTATGGAACTTGGAGATTGGTTGCAAGAATCTGCAGCAACAAAAGAATAAAGGCAGGACTTTCTTTGTGGGTTTGTGTGTGGGTTTTTGTTTTGGTGGGGTTTTTGTTTTGGTGGTGTGATTTAAGTGGTTTTTCCCCCCCTTTTTCTTAAGAAAAATAGGATTTTTCATTCTAAAAGAGCTAAGCCTTGCCTGGGAGTAAATTTCAGAAGATACCCACAGAGGTTTTACAAGTCAGGCTAACTCATAAAGGCAAAGATAGCTACATACTGCTGCATAATTCAAACATTTGCACACTGATATCAAAAAGAAGAAATTCTTGATTATAAAATCGAGTTGCCTTCAGAAGAAATGTAGTATAGCATTTCTGACGTGTTTAGAACGAGATGATTGTTGTGTTAAACAGTTGTGTTTTAATCTTATAGAATATGGTTTGGTTGTATTTGAATTTATAAAGTTGAAGTTATGGGCAAGACTTAGATACTTGTTATAGGTTGTGTAAATTTTGTAAAGATGCTGTTGAATGAAAAATATGATGTCTAAAAATGGTTTTAATTACTATGTGTAGTGTTAACTCTGTCCTCAAACTTGCAAGTAATTGCACTGCTGTAGTCAGAGGAGCACAGTTACTAAAAATTTGTAATCCAAATATTTACTCAAGCTTTTGATTGCAAAATGACATTTGCTTCCTGTTGTTGTTTTTATCTTTTGCCAGATTTAACTTATCTTTATTTGTGAATGAAATGTTACTTCAGTGTTTATGTACCACAATATAGAAGACATTTTAAGAAAAAACAGTGTTTGCTTTTCTTTAGCAAGAAGACAAACAATCCTGTTACAAGTAAATGGCATCTATTAGGACACTGGGATTTAATTCCACTTGAGAAGTGTCCTCAAATCTCATTAATATCAGAAACTGAGGGGGTTTGTCAGCCACAAAAGGATTCTTTGGTGACTGTAGTGTAGAACAAATAATAGAAGGTATTTTTTCCAAAAAAACCCAGAAGAAAATTGTGCAAATCCTCAGACTTTTCATCCCATATGAGTTTGGTATAATAAATAGGAGAACTCAACAAGGAGATTTATCAAGCTTAATAATATTTCTTGCAGAACTATGGCCTTGAAACAGACAATATGAAGAACCTGGTTCTCAAGTTGCGAGCATCGTCCAACAATCTGCAAAATTACATCAGCAGCCGTAGGAAAAGTTCAAATTATGATGGAAATACCTCTCGCAAGCCCCCCAATGAATTTCTTACTTCTGTGGTAGAGCTTATTGGTGCTGCTAAAGCCTTGCTTGCATGGTTGGACAGGTAAGAATAAAATCTTTGTTTTAATTTACTGCTCTAATGATTTGCTTCTCTTTGTAAGGCAATTTCTAGATGCTTGGGTATGAAGATCTTCTTGATCTCACTCCTTTTTTGGTGTTGTCAGAAGGCCTCTAGTGCACAAATTTAATCTTGGGTGTCTGTTCTTGCAATTCTGCTCTTGTTAAAACCAGTAAAATTGTTAAAATTGCACACAAACTGGTATTTATAAAAGCAGGAGTCTTCCCTTTGAGGTCAGTTTCTCATACATGTGACTTCTCTCCTTCCCACATTCTAAATTACTTGTCATTGAGAGGTCCCTTTCTAAAAGAATCTTTAATGTTCTGAAATCATAGCCTTAGCTATGTGATTTGAAAACTGACCAGTGGGAGAGATTCTCCTTCTGCCTGTTTTGTTTTCTTTTTGTTTTTCTTCTTTAATCCTTTTTTTGTCTGAAAAGAGCCACAGTTGTTTTGTGACAACTGTAGCGGGTCAGGTGCTGGCAGGGATGCTGTCCATGATAACAGATGAACATAAATTCTCAAACCCCTTCTTAGCTTTTCTGACAAGGAAAGTTAGGATGAGAACTGCATATGGATCAGCAGCAAGGAGGAATTTTATCCTTTATTATCCCTGTTCTCATGAAAGGAATTGGTTAGTGTCCAGGCAGTGACATTAACAGCTTAACCCTCTTGCCTGGTCCTCTTCTCTCACCCTGTTGCTGGCAGCTCACCCTAAATTTCTTCTGCAACTCACCATCAGAAAGATTGTTGACTTGTCTGTTTCCAAACCTGCTGGGGTTACTTCTCACCCCTTTTCTAGCTCTTGCAGATGTCTGGAGGGTCTGAGGTGGGGTTACAGGCTCTAAAGCTGCCCTGCCTATAATGAGTCTTCTCGAAGTCTCACTGCACCTCTGTTTGTAGAATGTGAAAATCCATTTGTCTTTTAGAGAATTGGTTTTTTTTCTTTGCCCAGTGAGAAAGTTACACATCTACTCACTGTCAAACACAAGGGTGTGATTTTTACAACACAGTGTGATTTGACTTGGGTTTGCAGCTGAGAGAACTGTACTTTTTAAAGCTAACCGTTTGTTCTGGTTCTGCTTTCTGAACTTGCTTACCACAGGTCTAGACATTTACCAGTTTTGGTGCAAGGATGGAGCAGCACCATGCAGTCAGGAATGCTTATGTTGTAATGCGTATGTGTATCCTCACACCTGTGTGAATGTCAGAGTTGCAGTGCTTACTCTCATATGCTCTTTCTTGCTGATAAGGTAGGATGGAAGAAGGCCAGTCCCTTCAACCTAAGGGGAATTTTCTCTTGTTGCAGGACCCCATTTACAGGTATTGCTGACTTTTCATCAATGAAGAACAGAATCATTCAGCTCTGCTTGGACCTCACTACTACTGTTCAAAAGGTCAGCTGATTTCTTTTCCTCTTTGCTTTCCAAAAGGGAAGGAAGGGGGGTGGCAGTGTTTGGGGAAGTAACGTGTTCTCTGAGTGCTAATGACAGGCAGATTTGGAAATGAGAGCTTATTTGAGACTTTGAAGGTCCATGAAGGTCAGATTTAGCTGTCCATTTTGCTGAGTTGTGGTGAGTTTTCTGTTGTTCCACTTGCTCCACCATTTAATTACCAATTTTGCTGTTGCTGGATATATCTTAAGTGCCTGCAGTTTAAAGGCTACTCAGACTTTCTTGTGCTTTACTAGAAAGAGAGTTAGTTATTTAAATAGTTGGTCTGCATACTAAGATTTTTCATGTTCTAAACAACATGTTGAAAAACAGTTATTGGTGCTAACTGTAAAAAAAAAATATAAAATTACTTCATTTGTTTTTACACCTATGCTTGCAGACTCCTCAGGTCTTGTCCCATACAGAGTGTTTTAGCCGTCAGATGGGCAATGTTCCATGTTATGGAAGGAGCTGCCACCTTTATGATGCAAATCCTGCTAGCCAGGCTCCTGCTGCCTACACTTTTGCCTAGTGCTAAACCACAGTATTTTTCAAAACTTGAATTTATCAGCTGTGTGATGAGTACTTGTAGAGATAGTAGCTAATAGGACACATAGCAACTGTGGCAGTCCTGGCAAATGGCATATTTTTGCTCTCTGAATAATGCTGCTTGTCTTTTGAAACTGTTCTGAGTGTGCCTCTGCTTTGGCTGTGAAGCAGTGTGTGCACACTTGAGTTACAGCCAAATTTGCTCATAACCATTACCCTGTGGCCATTTATTGTTCAAACTCTGAAGGCCATCCCATGACATGTGTGATTCCATGTTGAAGGGATGATGTCAAAGGACAGAAACATCCTGTGAGTTGTCAGGCTATGATGACACACAATTATATCAGTTGTATCATTGTGAAAGGATAGTGTCTGGGTACTGTAAGTTCTAAGGTGCACAGGTTTGGCCTCCTGCTGGATGCCCTTCTTGTTTGGGCACTGCATGTACAATTGCACAAAGTCAGCGATTTACAGCTACAGATTTGCAGATTGTGCAGAAGAACAGTAAGCATTTCTAGCAGCAGATGGTGTTCACCTGGGAGTGCTACAGGAACTGAGATATGAGATTGCTGAACTGTATTAATAAAACTACTAAAAATGGTGTCTAAACTTTCATTTAAATCAGCCTTTGATGGTAAGGGAATGGAAGTTGCTGAATACAACCCTGGCCTTTTGAAAAGCATCAGAGTACTTCTCTGCCAATTTGATATGAGCTATAATAAAGAATGGGATTGGTGCATGTGAAAAATGGGGAAAGAAGCAGTACTATTTTGTGCTAGGACATGGCACATATATACTAGAACAGACTGAAGCAGTCCACTGGTGTGGAAAAGAGAGATACAATTGAAAGTCTTTAGGTTGGTTTTTTGACTTCAAAAGTATTTCTTATTAGGGAATAGAGTATAGGAACAAATAGTTAGTTCTAATAGTGGAGAAGAAACCAAAGTGGCTCTCATGGAACCAGTGTGGCTGTGTAAAAGTCTGTGAGTAATAAAGGCAAATGCAAAAAGATTCCAGTTGATTTTAATGATAGCTATATAGATTCAAGCACCAGAGTTTGCTCCACTAAAAGTTCTATGGCAAACTTTAAGGTTAGAATAATTATCAGCGTAAATGAAGAGGAGCAGAAAGACTTTGCAGTTTGAGCGGCTGAGCTGCATGATGCTAGGTGATGTTTGCTATTGATGCATGCAGATGTATTTAGCAGAGAAGAGCAGGAGACAGTCTTGCACAAACTGCTCCAACATATGTGCTTTCCACAGCTGCAGTTCTTCATGAACTGCTCCAGTGTGGGTCCCTTCCACTGCGTGCAGTCCTTCAGGAACTAACTGCTCCAAGGTGGGCTTCCCATGCGGTCACAGACTCCTTTAGGCATCCACCTGCCTAAAGGACCTGTGGGGTCCTCTGTGGGCTGCAGGTGGATCTCTGCTCTGCTGCAGATCTCCATGGGCTGCAGGGGGACAGCCTCTCTCGGGCTTGGTGTCTGGGGAGTTGTTTCTCTCACAGATTCTCACACTTCTCTCCTGATGCAACTGGGGCTTTTTTTTTCCACTCTTAAACCTGTTATCCCAGAGGTGCTGCCACCATTGCTGATCAGCTCAGCCATGGTCAGCAGTGGGTCCATCTTGAAGTCTGCTGGCACTGGCTCCATAGGACACAGGGGAAGCTTCCAGCAGCTTCTTTCAGAAGCCACACCTATAGCATCCCCGTTACCAAAATCTTGCCGTGCAAACCCAATAGAAATGTCAAGGGCTAATATCTTGAAATTTAAGCTTGTTAAAATGCTTGGGAGTTTTCTCCTTGTAGCTACCGTAAATCTTGTTTCATTATTTAGTTGCTGTTTTAACTTTTTAATCTGAGAATCTAATACCATTCTCTACTTCAGCTTTTCTTGCAGAAAACAATGACGACTTCTGTAGTTTGTTACATGAACTTGTTTCAGTTCAAAGACTTTTGTACCTGGGCTGTGTAAAGAATGCTTTGTGTGCCGTCCTCTGGCCTTCAGGAATGTCATCGATAGCATACTTTAAAAAACCCAACACTTTCCATTCTATTTTTAACAATATGTTTTAGATCCATTTTGATGCCTGGGACAAGGGAGCACCTGAGTCCGGTTTTATCAGTGTAAGGCAAAGTCGTGTGCCAGCCTTCTGAGAGTCTAGTTTTATTGTGTAGGGTTCTACTTTTCTGGAAAAGTCAGCTGCTGTAATTGAATCCTATGTTCTCCTACTTTTCAAGGTTTATTATTGCTTTCTACCAGGCCCAGAAAACAGTTGTTTAACAGTACATTTGAGCCCTACTGGATGAAACTAATCTGATTAATCCTTGCAGCATGAAGAACTCTATTTCTGTTCGAGGTTAAAGTGGCAGTTCTGCAGAGTTGTCAGAGATGATGTGTTTACTGGTTAATGTAGGGCTTTTGTTCTTTTACTTTTAGGATTGCACTGTGGCTGATATGGAAGATAAAGTCCAGACTGTAGTAAGTACATGTTTTTGTTGAAACTTGGCTGTCTGCATTCACATTTATTTCAGTTGTGTCTATGCTGATCTATTGTCAACAGCTATCCAGTCCCATGTGTACATGCAAGCAAACGTTATTATGGGTTGTTTTGTGTATATTCTTTACTGTAGAGAGAATCAGTGAAATTTGGACAGATGGGTAGTATGTGTAATAGCACAGCCAAGTATTCCTTAAAGTTTCAGTGCACAGCTATTTTTCCAAGAGAATTTAGACCTCAGATTTTTAAGGGAGGAATATTACTGCAGAATGATCATAGGCTAAATAAACCAATTATGCTTGTGAAGTGTACTTAGTGCCTTAATAAGCAGATGCTATGCCTTATGCTGCTTCATGTAAAAGATCTGCCCTGCCACAGAGCTGGAGTTCTGTTTCTGATCATATTTGAGCATGAGTTTTTAGGGTTGTTTGAAGCAGCCTTGTGACCAAATGAGGAGTGTAATGGAATGCTTTTTATATTTTGTAACAGTTAATCATCGCTTCCTGCTTTTGACATGAACCAGGCTGTGCTCTTTGATAAGCCCTTCCGCTAGCTCAAAGATGCTTAGGAATTTGGTAGCACAATAACTAAAAATAATTTTATCCATAAATAATGAGACCACGTAAAAGGGAGTTTTCTGCATCTTTCTTTTTCCATTTGTGCACACCCACTCTGGAAGTAGGTATTGTTGTTTGGAATTCCCTTGTTTGAGCAGTTCCTCACATTCACACTTAAACATTGTTTTGATTTATTTTATTGCTGCTCTATAAATCTGACGTAAAACAAACCAGAAAATGTTGGAACTATTGTTTCCAGGGACCATTGTAATCCAACTCGATGTCTTCCTACGACATAGCTCCCCCATCCTGAAATTAGATATGTCTGCTTTGAAGGATTCAAAACCCCTGTGAAAGGTGGCTTACCTTGTTGGTTCCCAAACTGTTCATAACGAACTACTGTGCTGTGTACCCATCCTCTCTCCCCTTTCCTTAAAGCTTTTCTAACCTACTTTGAGTTTCAGCATTGATTCAGTTAATATCAAGGTGGAAAACATACTGTGGGAGGGAGTGAAATTTGTGAGTGTAGAGAGGGCACGGATTTTTTTCCTTTTTTTCCTTTTTTTTTCTTTTCCAAGTTTAATTTGCCATTCTGATAGTTAAATATTCTACAAGGTAAGGACATTCCTCCGCCAGCTTTTCTGACACACACACAAGGTCAGAATTAGTCGTTAGTTATAATGTTGGCTTAGGATCAGTTATGTTTTGGTCAAAAGGAAATATGAACCTTGCCTGCGTAAGCATGCCAGAAGAGTTCAGTTCAGAGGCACAGTGGAAAGAAGTGCTGCTGAAAGACTTAAGTGCTAGATGTCCTACCTTTTACTGTAGAGCTTTGTGCAGATAAGTCACATCGCTTTTGTGACATATGGCCAGTTTTATTCTCATAGAAAAAAAGTACAATTTGAAAAACTCTCAATTGTTACCACAAGGAATAATTAAAATGTTTCAAGATTTTAATGGTTTGTATTTGGTTAAAGCAAACAAACCCAAAATTTTTTTGATATTTTGTGTGTTTAGTTTTTTACATGTGTCAGCATCTGTTAGCAATGGTGAGCTGGCAACAGTGGAAACAGGTTGTTTGTTGGTACTGTGTTACAGCAAGACTATAAACATGTTGTGAATAGATCTATACAAACGAATCTTCTATTTCAGTGTTTTTAGAAGTCATTTCCTTTGCATGTTTTGAAAACAGAGGAGGAAGCCAGAGAGAATTTTTCTAACTGTTTCTAGTATGTTCTCATTGTAGGCCAAGACTTTAAATGGTATTTGTGATAAAGCCATCCGATCAGCTACAGATCCATTGATGAGCCAGTGTGCCTGTCTGGAGGAGGTTCATTTAACCAACATTAAACCTGGGGAAGGCCTGGTAAGCACTGATTCCGGAGTGTCCTGATGTCACCAGTGTTTAATAGGTGGTCTTGTGAGCCAATGCATTTGTGTGTGTACAGTAAGATTTTTCAAAATTGGTAATAAGATGGGGAAAAGAAAGAAGTGTGAGGGGGAACTCTAAAGGTTAATTGTCAGGTGGTGTGCTGGAGTGGCTGCCAGAGATGGGTATGCAGGTTAATAGGTTTGATCCCAAATACAATTCTTTATGGTAAGCTGTTGAAGATTTGTGTCTTATCCAGGATATTGGAGAATTTACAAATTCTTGTGGAATTAGTATTTATTTTTGCAGGTTGCCTTAACTTACTGTTTGTCTAAGGGGGGGCTGGGGAAAGGAAAAGGTAATGAGACATTGTGTTTTGAAAGATGTGTTTTTATGTATGCTTATAGCAACACTGAGAAGAATATGATAGTTTTTGAGGTTTGCTTGTTAGCAGGAATATAAGAACTTTTTAAATGGTCAGTGGCCGTGTAACATTACTGACTCTTGTTTGTTCAGTGGATCCTGCTTAGCTGAGTACTGGTTATGGGAAACTTGAGTTTGAAATCTTAGTGGATTTTCTGTCTAGGCAACAGGCACGTTAGAATGAGTAGGAGGGAATTTAAATTCTTAAGTGTGTTTGTATTTACCCCCTGACCCCAAAAGCAGAAGAGATGAACACTTTTAGAGAAAGCTGTACAGTTTCACTGGGCTATGTAGTTTTACCTAGGACACTGCATTTGACTGGATCAGTCATGCATTCTTGAAATTATGGGGACCTCTTTGTTAATGCACAAGCTACCACAAAGCAGTCAGTCTAGCTTGGACTAAGTAAGAAATGAAGAGGTAGGTGCGCACAATTAGATACTGACAAGCAAACAGGGAAGGAATTGGCTGGAGAGGAGGGGGTCAAAAAAATCTTCTGTTTTTTTCCTTGTACTTTTATGCAAGTGTGGTAATGTCAGGCAGATAAGCTTTCTGCAGCTCCTGAATAACATCCAGTTCTGTACAGCTCAGTTTAAGTGATTTTACCTACAGATGAAGATAAGAAAAGTAGATAAGTATTTGTATATAAATGATGAAACCAATGTACTGGTCACTTCTTGTGGGGAAAACTATGTAATTATAGTTAGTAGCCTGTATGTGATTTTTAATTTGGTGTTCTTATGGTCAACACCCACTTTATGTGAATTTTTCCTTGCATTCACTCAACATTAATATCCAGAGCTGCAAATACTCTGCCAGAGCTTTTACTGCTTATGTAAGCATTGTGGTTGTGAGGCAGTCTGTATACTGACTTGCCAAGAGAAGCTGTGAAAGAACATGTTGGCAATATTTGTACCCCACCTGTATAAGTGTGCTTTGTATGGAAAGAACTGGTGGCCACCTAGTAAAACCTGTCATTCTCTAGTACAGACTGGGTAGTACGGAAATTAAGTTCTGTTAAAGGCCAAAGACTGACAAGACAGCAAAACCAGCAGTGTTTGGTATTACCAACCATACAGTGTCTATAAATCACATTCCATGTATTAGATGCTTTAAGTCATTGTAAATAATATAATTAATTGCTGCAAAAGTGATCTGTGAAGAAGTTTAGAGTGTTGTAATGTTAGACCACACACTTTTCTAGGGAAAATATGTGAATTGTTAAGAGGCTTTAATAATGTCATGATTCTGTTGCCAACAATTGTTTAATCAGATAAGTTATGTGGTTTGTTTTGCCTTTAAACTTGTTTTTCATTTTTTCCTGCTATTTAGGGAATGTACATCAAATCAACTTATGATGGATTGCATGTAATTACTGGAACTACAGAAAACGTAAGTGAAGTAAATGTAGATGAACTCAGTCTATCTGACAGTAGCTTTGAGTTAGACTTACTACTTTTTGTTGGTTTACATATGGCTTTCATGGTATTACTGCTTTAAATACTGTGTGATGCATCGCTTGTTTATCCACAATTTGTAAATATTTTGTGTCTGCATGTTTCACTGTTAGTCTAATTAAACCAGTTTGAGCAAGTACATGAGCTAGTTCAAATGCTTGGCATTAAAATAATTGCTTTAATAAGTTACTGTATCTGCTGTTCTCAGCCCTTATGGTATCTTGTTTAACAAAGTCTTGGACGTATTTGCTCTCTGCTGGCAAAGGCAATCTCCCCTAATGGGAACATTTAGGTGGTAGTGTGCTAAATTCAGTAATGAGTAATGAAATCAATGAGCTGTCCCATGACAAAATTACCTTGCAGAGTAAAAAGACCATGAAAAAGTAAGTCTTTAAGAGTGGTCAGCTGGAAGGAAATGGTTGGCATGATAAGCAACTGGTTTTTGCTGCAGGTGGTTGCTTGTTTTATTCTTACACTGTGAGTCCTTTGTAGCTGAGACTTTATTGAAGGTTTCTGGGCAGCCACTGAAGGAGTAGACCTCTGGCTAGCAGCTGAGTCTGGCGTGTGATGCTGTGGTGTTGTCAAACATGCTGCTCTGCAGGATCAGTGGCTGAAAGAAAAAGGAGCAGAGAAACTTGGCTTTTACAGCAATGCCTTTTTTTGTGAATAGGAAAGAACCAGTGGTTCGAGTTGTTCCCCTGCCAAGTCCAAGGGCCAGAGAGGAAAGGGTGGAAATCTGCTTGCAGTTCAGAGTGAAAACTGAAGGCCTTTATAGTTTTTACGCTATTGTTCTGGCATGAGTGTTTATAGGATCTGCCACAGAGACCAAGTCCACTTTGACAGCAATTTCAACATCCGATAAATGTGAAAGAATGTAATGTTGACTGCTGGCAATCTGCTTCTGCATGTAGATCTTATTTTGGAGTCCAGGAGTGGGGCAGTATTCCTTCTGTAGCTTTGAGTGTTGACCTAAATATCTGCTTTTTTTATCAACATTCATTCTTTTTTTGGGGAAACTCCTTCCTTTGGAGCAACAGGACTTGACAATTAACTGAGAGATCTGCAAACAGCTGACATCTTTATGGTGGCATGGTACTGTTTTCGTGACCAAGACTGGGTCTTAGCTCAGTTTGCTTGCTAGGTTTGGAATGGTATTTTAGTAGCCAGATCTGTTGTGTGGGATTGCAGTGGAATTACAGGCCTAAATTGACAATACTGTAGAGTGGACGGACTGGGAAATCTGGTCATCCAGAATACTGTAGAGTGGACGGACTGGGAAATCCAGGCATTTGGTGCTGGTCATCCAAGAGGATTCCTGAATTGTGCCATCTTGCTTGTGAATTCCCGTGTCACGTTGGCCTAGTCTAAACTTTGCTCTTTCCTCTGTTCTCACAGTGCTATCACAGTGTCTGCACTGTGACCTGGCACTTGTAGGAGTGCTCTGTGCAAGGGTCCCCCAAGCACCTGCAGGGCAGGCTGTTGACTACCCAAAGGACAGCTTGAAATGAGCTTTGTTTTCTACAAACTTGACTTTGGCCCAGCATTTTTTTCATGATCTTGGTTGACTCATATATACCCAGCCTTCCACAGAGGCATTTCCTCTCAAAGGAAGCAAGAAGACAATGAAGAAATGGGGGTTACTCATGATAGCTGGAGACTCCCACAAATTCCCCCATGTTTTCTTCCCTTATTATGCTGTTTATTCCTACAATTCTTTCTCATAACAAAGTTAATTGAGCTTTGAAGGTGTGATGAGGTGAAGGGAGTCCTTAATCCCAGTGCTTAGTTCTGAAGTCACTAGGAAGAGCTGGCCTGCTGCCAGGTGGTTACTCATGGGGCGAGGGGAAAGGGAGGACAAGTTGTCCTATGACCAGGGTGCAATATATACCAAGGTAGTATGCTGGTGTGCTTTGGGTGTTGTCAAGGCTGGTCAGAGTGGGTGTGTTATATCAGTGAGAAGGTGTTTTAGTAATTGCAGTAATAGCTGCTGCATTGCACCAGCTGTTGATAAATCTAGATATTGACACAGTAAGCTGTTCCTTGCTAATGGTTCCCCAGAGTTTAGGTTTTATTCCAAGAGAATTGTAATTTAAGGTGTATTATTATTAGGTAAGTATTTGAAAAATACCTATCTATGCACACTTGATGTGTGCAAACATATCTTTTTATCTGTTGACCTCGATGATGCAGGCAAGGTAGTTTCACATTGAACTTGGAAGCTTTTATTTACATTAGGAAACAAAAAGGGCAAGTGCAATGGATCTGTCTTGAGTATTGAAGGGGTTTTGGTCCTTTGTTCTGTACATTCAGTCTTATTGTATTTTTAAAAAATCAGTATACATTTATTTGAAACCTGTTTGATAGCTGCTATGTTATGGCAGAACTCCTCCTCAGTCCTCTCCCACTTGTCTCTGAAACCATAGTGCAAACTGAGGCACAAGAACAGTGGAGAGTGTCCCATGACTTAAGTACAATTTGGCCTGTGACAAATGTAGGCTATGCCTTCTCCCTTCCCCTGTCGTTCCCCCAGTATAAAGTACAAATAATTTCACGGATTCATTTGCATTTCTGATGTCATCAGCAGGTGTAATGTGTGATCTAGCTCTGTGAAAATTATCTATACTGAAAAGTATTGCTGATGCAACCTTTGACTTGGCTTGGTGGGGATTCTTATAGGAGGGAAGAAACCCTGCTAAAGCACATGCCTCTTGTTTCCTTTCTGTAGTCCCCTGCTGATCGCTCGAAGAAGATTCATGCTGGTGATGAAGTGATCCAGGTTAATCAGCAAACTGTGGTTAGTAACTAACAGCATTACCAGCCTTCCCTTATGCTTGCTCTGCAAAGCTCACTTGCCACGGGTTCTAAATGGATGGGTTTGGGAGGCAGTTGTGGTGTTTTCCTGATGAACATTTTTATTTATAAGACAAACTTTGTTATTTGCAATATTTTGATATAATAAATATGCAGTATTTCATGTTTAAATGCTATATGTGGCATATTAAAATACTTCATGTTGTATTTAAGGCCTGTTTTAAAATGCATTATTGCAATCCATTGAAATGCAGATAAAAATAGCTTTTAAAAAAACAAGCAAGTATTTGTCAAATCATTTGCATCTGGGAACTTGGATATGGTGATGACATTTTTGCTTAGCACAGGTAGGCAGTGCCTTTCAGTGTGTGAAAGAAACAGGAAGCACTGCTTGATATCTCAGTGTTTAGTTATCTTAAGCTGCAAGCTTAAATAGAGATCTTCCTTTGAAACAAAATTAAGAATCTTGCATAAAAGGAGCTTTGCAATTTTTTCTTAATTCTGACTCTTGGATCTTGTTTCTGTCATCTAGGCACATTTTCAAACAAACAGGTTGACTTGAGCATTTGAGGTTTTCTTGCTTGTTTGCTTACAGAAGAAAAATACAAAGTAAGAGATGTCTTTATTCTCTTTCAGGTTGGATGGCAACTAAAAAATCTGGTGGCAAAGTTGCGAGAGAATCCTGCTGGAGTTAGGCTGCTGCTTAAGAAACGTCCTACTGGTTCTTTCCATTTCACTCCCGCTCCGCTAAAGAACCTGCGCTGGAAACCACCCTTGGTGCAGGTGAGAGGCTGCCAGTTCCACTTTGGTCACAGGATGAGAATGCCTTGGTTGCAACAGGAAAAAGAGAAATCCCAGAAATGCTCCCAGGTAGTCATGTTTAAGTATAGGTCAAGAAAGGTTAGGCTGTCCTCTTCTGGTTCCTAGATAAAAGGGAAAATGTTCCTGCTTATTGTGTTTTCTTTTTCTTAAAACTAGATAATGCCCTCCTGGTACACAAAGGGACTAGGTGTGTTAAATGTTTTAATCAGTCTGTGTGCCACTGGGAGAACTTAACTGAAGTGAAACTGCTGATATGTGTGGAATTTATCAACATGGAGTAATAAATGCTTTCTCCATTTAGCACAGTAATACTTTTTTTGCTGAAATGGCATAGATTATTCCATATGGTTATCCTCTTTATAGTCTGGTGAAGGGTGGGTTGAGAGAGTGTTTTTCCAGAAGTCGCTTAAACTACTTGTTTAATAAGATTTGGTTGTTGGGCAGTTCACAGGTCGGGTACTGAACAGAGAAAGAGATGTTAATAATTTTTAAATGACCATGTTGAGGAATGGCTTGTTATATATATATTAGGAAGCTTAGGACTTAATGCTACAGGACGAAACAACCTAATTGAGTTTGAACTGATTACCTGAAATGAATAAAACCAGGGAGAGTTCCCACTCCTACTACCGTTCTGATACAGGTCTCCCTACAGCTGTGAGGGTAATGTATCAGCCTGTAAAATGCCAGTGGCTATCGCAAGTCTTGATGAAAGCAGGTTTCTCTCAGACTGGGTAGAAAGTGTGCACTTGACTATTTTTTCATCTTTCCTTTCACCAGTGCCTGTCTTGCTTTTGTGGCATCATGCCTAATGTGCTACCAGTGTGAGGAGCTGAGGTAGGCTGGCATATAGGCTATGCCAAGCAGTGTTTCCTTGGGGGAATGAGTGATAGGAGAGGCCTGTTGACAGTTCTGGATTTCAGCATAGTGACTGGTAAAAGACAGATGTTAGTGCAGGGGTACCGTTTACTGAGTGAACAGGGTGAAATCCTGGCCAGGCCCTTGACAAAAAGGGTAGAGAGCAGTTCTCTTGCCTGACAAAGGTGAAAGGGTCTTTGAAGTTCTTTTTTCTCCTAGAGACAGGCAGGAGCCTGGCAGGATGCTGGGAACATAGAAATGAGCTGCAAAGATGAGCAATGCCAAATCTGTTTTTCCTCTGCTTCCCTGACCCTAGTTATATTCATTGATCCAATTTATAGTGAACTTAACCATATTCCTGTCTATGCCCCAGGCACTGGACTTTATGGAATAAAGGTAGCATTAGCTGGCTTTGCAAAGGTTGCAAATAATAGCTGTATTTAACAAATTGCATTCTTTTAATGGGCCTAAAAATAGAAGGGGTTTTGTCTCAGTTGCTTTTTTTGTCTGTGAAATTTACAGGAAAAATAGAACTGGAAAGAGCAACATATTCTTGAGCAATGCATTACCAGTGATAGGACTTCTGTAGGAGGAACTGCAAAGCTGGCCAAAACTGGGGGTGGAGGAAAATATAAATGCTAAGAGTTTTTAATGTGTTCGTGCAGCATAGAGATAGTAGTTCGCTAGGGGATGTAAATGATACTATTGATTATTGAATTATCTTTTTTGTGAATGATAAATGACTGCTCAGATGTTTGATAGCTGTCTAACATTTCAGACCAATCCTCCACCAACTTCAACTCAGTCACCAGAAAGCACTGTGGATACCTCACTGAAGAAAGAGAAGCCAGCCATTCTGGATCTGTACATACCACCTCCACCAGCTATTCCATATTCTCCTCGGTATGCAAATAAACATGCACTACTGAACAAAAACCTCCTTTATTACACTTGTTTCTCAGCTGACTTGCTGTTAGAGCTGTGTGCAGAGTAGCTTGAGGAAACTGAGAATCTCAGACTCTCTTCTAGTTGCCTAAATGAATTGGATTGCTGGTTAAGCAGTTATTAAGGCTATTACATCTAAGTGTGTAAACTTAAGAAATTATTAAGGTTATTGTGCTTAAGTGCATAAACTACCAGAATTGTAATATATTTTACTATTAGAAGATTATTGTGTGACACATAGATCAGTGTTGTTCCCAAAACATGAATGGATGTTTTCTGGTTTTGTTGTGGAGTTACGTTTTTGGTTTTGTTCAAATCCAGCTGCATGTAGCAAGAAGTAATTTTTGTCTCTAACTCTAGCAGGTTAAATAACTGTTGTGGGAATTGGAATATAAAAGAAGATCTTTTTCATTGTTAAACTTGCAAGTTGTTTAAAACAGGAATGTTCCTACTGAAAGGAAGGGAGAATCAATTCATTCAACTTTCATTTTTTTTATCCTGTAATGTAAGCTGTAAAAGTCAGACTTATGTATACAACAGGCAGGGGGTGGTATATATGGTGAGGCTACCTTTTGTTTGTTCTCAAGTCCATGTTGACTCATGCCAGAACCCTGCCAGCTGCCCTGGGAAGGTGATGAACAGAGGAGTTTTCAGGCAAGACATGAAAGGCAAGCATGCTTCCTGGTCTGCCTCAGTGCTTTAGGTTACGTGCAGATAGCCCAGCCCAGAAACTCTGACGTTTTGCTGCAGGACTTGTTGGCAAAGAGCTTGTCTTGTGTCATGTAAGGGCTGACACAGAGACAGAGTTTGTATTACTGCAGTCTTTGAGGCAGAACTGGGAGTGGGAGTTTCTCCAAGGTAGGGTCTCTTTACTGAAGTTGGACCCACCGTGACATGCTCTCTCTCTGGTTTTATGATTGCACATGCTCAGTTCTTATTAAAAAAACCCCTAAACTCAAGTATTTTTGCATAATAACAAGCATATGGATTTAACAGATTTAGCTTTGGTCTTTTCTTTAAATTGTTAAATTTCAAGCACGTTGGTAAATTATACGCATGGACTCAGTTTAGCTCTCCTAAAGAGGCACAAAATTATATTGAGTTTCAGATGCCTTTAGACCTGAATCCCTGTTGACAAGAAAGGAAGTAGCAATGCAAGCTGTAAAACTTGTCCTTCATGATGTGTGGAAATGGGAAGGTGTCTTGACTTTGACTTTTCACAAAAGTAAACATGGAAAGCTGTGGCAGGTGGAAAGAGAAGAAAGAACAATTATTTTGCCTTCTGTTTGGCCATTTATTTTCAACTCTGCATGTCTTACTGTTCTCTTGAAACTGTGGTGCTTTTTTGTGGTTGTTGCTTTTTTTTCCCCTTCATCGCCCTGTTCTCTTCCCTTCCTGGCACGGATCTTCTCTGGTCCACACTGGGAGGCAGAGAGCAGTGTCTGACTTCCCTCCCCATGGCACAAGTCTCCACATGGTGGTGGTGTAGAAGAGTTCTCTGCATACATACAGTTGTGGTGTAACACTTGAGTGTGATTTCAGTCTATAAATCTCCATAAATAGCTCCATCCCGTTCACTGAGCTATAGCATTGTTCTTGGTGGAGAGATGGAAAAGTGCTATGTGCTGGCCAGGGGCTGTTGTGAATACTGGGGTATATATGTGCTTAGACAGTTAGCTATGTATTTTTATGCCTGACTTGGCTAATGGTTGCTTTAAGCAGTAAGATTGTAGCATGTACAGGGAAAGGGGGGTAAAGGCCCAGGCAAATCTTTACTTGGAGTGTAGCTTCCCTTTCAAAAGTACTTACAAAATGGCTGGTTCTGGCCTTTGGAATGAGAAATTGCTCTGGGAAGGGAGTTCCTGCAGAATTTGATCAAAACTATGTATATATACACTACGAATTTACTACAGAAACTCTCAAGAAGAGGGAGAGAAGGTGGTAAATATTCAGTGACAGTTATTGGGCTCTTAGCATGACTGAAAAGCATAGCCCCTCAGATGGAGGTGATAGGTGTGGGCATTACACAGAGGTGGAAAAATTTATGTAGCACTCCCAATTCACAGCTGTGTACTGAGCCGTCAGTGAATCAGGGGCTTTAATGCTCTCTGGGCAGAAAGGTCTCATTTACCAAAATCTTTCACAGGAGTGGAACCTCTAAACTTCTCTGTTTGTTAAATTACTGGCTCATTAACAATAAATTAGCATGAGGAGGGTAGCTTTCTTTTCTCCTTGGTAAGTATAATGAAGTCTTCCATCACCTGACTTGGGGTTTTTTCAGCTTGTTTGCAGCACAATGTCAGTTGTCATGACCATGACTGGGTGCTGGAAGTAACTTTCAAACCTACTCATGTCTGTATAGGGAAACTCTTCAGCTACTAACTGAAGTGACATGTCCTTTCAGAGATGAAAAGGGGAGTTTTCTGTATGGAGGAGGCAACAAACGCGGCCAGCCACTACCTGGGTCCAAGGGCGCCGAGTCTCCCAATTCTTTTCTGGATCAGGAGAGTCGAAGGCGAAGGTTTACAATTGCTGATTCAGATCAGTTGCCTGGGTATCCCATGGAAGTAAATATCCTACAAGCTAAGATGAGGGAAAAAACACAGTCCTATGGTGAGTTCATTCCTCTCTCATTTTCTGTTATGATAAGCACTTTGTTCAGTTTGAAATGATTTGTGTTAGACTTGATGGATATTAAGAGCATTCTGTGCAAACTGTGAATGTGAATGAAATTCCACATCTGCAATAATTTCACTTAAGTGCTGTTAGTTTTTTAATGAATGTCATTCAGCTGGGCTCTGCTGCTGCAGATGGCCAGTTCCATATGTGTTTTAGTTATCACATTGTGTCCACTGCTGCTGCAAGTGAGCAAGAGTGTGGCTGTTCAATCTCAGCACACTGATTGCTTACATAGAACCAGTGGAGGTAACTTTAAATATGTTTTCTTCCTGCCATTTGATCTCCTTGTTGCTGTATCTACTCTCTTGTTTAATTGTGAAAAGTAATAATTTAAAAGTTGATTTCCTAAACTCTTATGTAATTCCTCAAAACCTTCTATGTTGCCTTTAGGAAAACCTCGTCCTTTGTCAATGCCTGCTGATGGAAGCTGGATAGGAGCTTCAGAACCCTTTTCTAGGCCACGAGGACCAGGGAGAAAAGGCAAGGTTTTACTCTCACCCCTCCTTCTCTTGCCTTCCTCTCCAACATTTCCTTAGGATGAACTGCTTGAAAGCATTTAAACCAGGAACAGAGGGTTATGGTTTGCATGTTGCTGAACTGATCCAAGGTGACAATTGATGTTTTTGGCAGGCCAGATTGTAGTTGAGATGTTTGTGGAGCTATTCAGTGCTGGGACTCGAACGTTTTCCTGTCTTGTGAGCATTGAAAGTAAGCTAGAATGACTAGGCCAGGTCTGTACTTTTCTCTTTATAGTACAGGTTTGCCATTTTGCTCTTACACACACCCTTTTCCCTTTCTTCTGCATTTAATACTCATTATAGAACTGCTTTGTTGCTAAGTCTTTCTGTTCGTTTAGCTCACTGTGGAGGCTGTTGTAGAAGCAGGCTTGTTCTCGAAATTGTAGGGCCTTTTAGGAGTTGCTTTTTACTGCAACTGCTGTTAGAAAACAACATATTCTGCAGATATCACTGAATGGGAGAGAGACAGAAGCTCATAAAGTTGGTGTTAGGTTAGGTGGCTTTTTTTACTTTCCCTGTTGTCCTTCTCTCCCCACCCCATTTTGCATCTGAAAGGTTATGAGTCCTGTTAGGCAAATAAACACGACTAGTTTATTCTGGAAATCAGTTATGAAAGCTAATGTGTAATTCTAGATAAACTAAATTCTGTTATTTTAGTGCAAAAAATAAAGTTGGTAACAGGAAGCATCAACCTGGAGGGATGTTAGAAGCAGTCTAAGTAATGAGTCTAACAGAGTGATCACCAGGTGGCAGGGCTGGGTTTTGTGTGTATGGTTTTTTGTTTGGTTTTGTGTTTGCTTTTTTTTAATACTTCAAATGTACCTAAGTGCTACAGACTTGTATATAAGCTGTATTGGGTCGGATCCAAACATTAAATATGCAAAAATCCATTAATCTATTGACAGCTGCTTATGTCCAGGTGTGTTATGAAGAGTAGCCAAAATCTAGGTAATTTGAAGTGTAATCAGAGTATTTTTATAAAAGTAGAAGATGTTAATGGAGGGTTTTGAAGTCAGTAATAATTGATTTTCCTCCTCCTATTTGTACAGGTGAAGATGTCCTCTGCAGGTACTTCAGTAATGAAAGGATACCCCCAATCATTGAAGAAAGCCCCTCCACACAACATCCCCTCTCAAGGCCACTGTCTGACAAGCAGTTAGTGAGGGGAACGGATTATATTCGAGGCAGCAGGTGTTTTATGAATACAGACCTCCACAACAGTGCGACGATTCCTTTTCAAGATGAATGCGCTAAAAAATCGTCGGTTACATCGTCCACAAAATCCTCCTCCACAGAGCCCTCCCTGCTCGTCAGTTGGATTACAAGACTGAAATTGTTGACTCACTGACTCTTGTCCACAGTGCTGTCACCAAGTGCCTTTGCTCATCGGTCAGGCTTCCCTACTTTTCAGCTTAACTGACTCATAGTGACTAATGCGGTATTCTTTTCCTGGAGAATCTTATATTTTTGCCTTTTCGTTTGTGATTTTTTGATGGATCAGAGAGTTACATAGTGCAAGGAGGGGAAAAGAGATAAAGATCAAGTTCCTCTTCCTGGTGAAAAGCTGAAGGCATTTATTCCCATGGAAATGAGTCAAATTTCAGTGAGCTAGAGGCTGCTCATGACCTGGAATATGCATAACGGATCAGAGGAAAGCAATGCATTGCTGTGAAGTCCAGTGGCACTTTAGTTGTCTGATTGCTCAGAGGCTGGTGTGACTGGCTGGATGTCAGAGTATGCAGAGCTCAGCAAAAGTTGTGTTGCTCTTCTGACCAGGAAAAGATAAGCAGGGAAGCAGCAGTTTCGTGCAACTTAGTGAAACTGTTGCAAGTACTACGTGATATCAACCTTGTGAGGAAGAAGTAGTAGTGATGCCGTTCTTTCTCTGATATCCAGAGATCCTATGAAATCGTAGGAAGTGAGTTCTCTTATTCAGAGATCTTAGGAAGTTGGACTAATTTAATTATAAATCAATCCAACCTGATATATAATCTATTTTATTGAAATCTCAGTACAAATAAAGAGCACTGAACAACTGCAGTGCTTATCTGAAAGGTATATGGTTTGCTACATGTCAAGGAAATGCATCTGTAGAGGTGGTAAAAGAATATATATTTCTTCCTTAATTGTTTAAGAATGATTTGCTGTTAACCAAAGTAACCTTTTAAGGACAGTCCTGTTGGACTTATGAGAACTGTTCCAGTGGTTCAGTTTCTGAATGATACTTTGTTTTTATGAAAAATATGTGCTATCATACACTGCAATTGTAAGACATCTTGCTATTTTCTATATAGCTCAAAATTTTTCCCCCTCCAGAATTTTAAAGTAGTATCGGGTATTTTGGGAGGAAAATAAAACTCGTTTAACAAAAGAAGAGCATATTAAAGAGGTATTGTTTAAAATGGAATGTACATAGGATTGTTAGTATGCAAACACTTCTGTTTAAAGTAATTTAAATGTTAAATACAGTTGTATGTATTTTTTACACTTGAATAGATACAGTTTGTACCTTCTACTGGGCACAGCATAGTCAGATGAAAGGAAAATAAGTTTTTGTATTCCCTGCTAATCATAGGACTAACTATTTTACATTGCCAGCAGCCTTTACTCCTTTGGTTTTGCTGAAAAGAATGGTTTATTTTTAATTAGTGGGGAAAGAGGGAAGTTAAATGCTAGTTTGCACTTTGGACTGGGGCAGGAATCACATGTGATAACACAAGTGTTAATATCACACTATAATCCTGGCTGTGAAGATGTGACCATTCTGCTTCAACAAGCTTACAAAGTTATGCTACAGCCCAACAGAGAGAGACAGGGTGTTAAATTCAGTTCTCAGTTAATTGCTTTTGGTTGTGACTCACTGGTAATTTAGGTGGGGGCTGGTTTTGACCTTTCTGATCCAAGCAGATTATAATATGTCTGTCTTGTGCCGCTCTTCTACACTCCCTGAAATGTCAGTCTGTACTAGAAATGTGACCAAACACTGTTGCTGTGTAGTTGAACCCTAGACCAGTTTCATCCTGCCTCTGAGAAAAAGGCTGGGACTGCCCTGTTGTAGGCACCGTGATGTAGTATAGTCCAGCCTCAAATGGACCAAGCTGTTTTAAAGTAAATCACAGTTACTGAACTAGATCAAAGTAAAAAATGTTGTCTAAACAAGATTTTAAAATGGAAATTTTGCTCATATTCAGTGTCCTGTTTTCCATGGTTTAAAAGTGAATGGGGAAGTATCACGCTTAACTTCTTGCTGTGTATAGTGAATATAGAAGGTGCTTTATAGTTTAGGGGCAAAAAAAAAAAAAAGGTCTCACAAGTCTAGGAATAAATCATAGGCAATATTTTTGTGGCTTAACCTGAGAAAAATGCAGGTAACAAATTAGAAACTGCTGTTACGCAGAAACTTGGCTCATCTCTTGGTAATGAACGCACATGTATCTGTTTTATGAAAAACTATGCCTAGGTTGACTTCCCTAATGAGTACAACATGTATCCAAATATCCTGCCATGGTACAGTACTCCACAATACTCCGAATACGCTGTCATGGTGGCAAAACAACACAGCTAATTAGAAAAGGTCATAAACCCCACAAAAATGAAGAAGAATATGTAGTTCTCTTGCATAAAGTGAAGTATGTGCACTTCAGAAATATTGAGCAGGCTTCTGTTTTAATCTGTAGAGTACGTGCACACAAATAACTCAAGTGTTTCCTTACACAACCATTGCAGGAAAATACTATTTTAGATGGGGTAATATGTAAGAGGAAATCAGACATAAAAATGAATACTAATGGCTTGTAGAGACAGAGTTCAGGGTAATTCTTCAAGCAGTGTATTTCCTCTAATATTGCGGATAATTAAATTAATCAGTGTTTGAAATCTGGATGACCAAGAGAGGTGGACAGAGTACTGTAAGTATTATACTAACTCTGTGCCAATCAGTGAGCTGATAACCAGGCCTTGTGTTAAAACCAGCAGACTCCATGAGCTGGGTGCTCATGGAACAGAAAGAGGAGGGGAAAATAATTCAAAACTTAGTCAAGCCAGGAAACAGATGGTGAGGACTAGTTTTATGGTTGGAGAGGATAAAGAGTTTTCTTCTTAGAGAAATAATTTTTCCCAAATCTTATGTCTTGTTTTATTGCATTGCCAGCAGGCATTCCTCACAAACTGCTCTGTACGTGCAGCCACATCCTGAATAGACCAAATTAAACCCCTCATCAGGCTTTAACGTGGACCTTGATGATGAATTCAGGTCAAAAACGTTTTTTTTTTTCCTTCAGATTTTACTTTCTTCTGCATTCCTCAGTCAGTTTTTGGAGTATCTTACACATGATCTGGGCAAGAAGGCTCTCATGTGCATGCATTCTGAGAAATGCCTTTGCCAGCAGGATTGGATTGGTGTCTTGGAGCAGGGTGGGTGCTGGCTTGTACTTGTGGTTTCTGTGCTTAAATAGGTACTTCTTCCCACAACTTCCATTGTACATCCATCTTGGAGTGTGAGTTAGAAATGCTCACGCACAGCTGGAAAAAACTGTTCAGGCTTTCGGAGTAATCTCACTTTGTCCTGTTGTACAATTGTGGTTTCTTTCTTTGTAGCCTGACTTTGCCTTTGCACATGCTGTGGTTATGGAGCACATGCTCCTTGTGGCCATCACATAGGAATATTTTTGTCATCTTGCGGACTGTTAAGGTTTTTATAATGGACAAGAGCTCTTGAGAAAGTCATTGGCTTACACTAAAACATAGAAAGAATGCTCCAAAACCATTCAGTTTGTGTTATGCTAGAAGAGGGGCTGGGCTAAGCTAAATGTATGGGTCTGTGTTGTGTTGAGCACTGTCTCAGCTGCGAAGCAGTAACTCCACAAAGAAAACAACCCACAGAAGTGCTGCATGCGCATTTGTTTCTCCTGCTACATTTGTATGGTGCTAGAATATGACACAAGGGCAGTCATTCAAAGTAGT